AAAAAAAAAAAAAAAAAAAAAAAAAAAAAAAAAGATTCAGGAAATGTTTTTTGACAAATAGATTCCTTACTAGGCATATTAATACAGAATTCTGAGTAATTCATTTTAACTATAGTACAGAACCGTATTTCCCGCCCCCCTCAGAAGCAGTGCAAAGGCTGGGGGGAGTCAGGGGTAACAGAGGAGCTGAGGGAGAGGGAAGTAAATTGCTGGGAAGGAGCCTGGGTGTGAACTTGGAGGGTTGTTGGCTCTGGGTGGGAAAAGTATGGAACAGGGTTTTTGGGGGAGGGGGGCAGGGAGGGATTGTTAGGGAGCTTCCCCCATGCAGACCCTGGCTGACCCCTCACCTCTCCCATTCAGTCAGGCACATCTGCCTCCGTCCCTACGTGGCCCTGCACCCCTGCCCCCCCCATTCAGTGCCTTGCTCAATGCGGTCACCACACTAGCTCTGAGCCCACACCCATCTGTCCCTCCCACTAGCCCTGTCTGAACCCCCCACTAGCCCCACATGCCCCGCTCTGCTGCTGGCTGCTCTGGTGCCACAACAGCCCCTGGGGGCTGAAAGGCAGAACTGCTTCTTGGGAGGAAAACATTCTGCCCTGGACATGAACTCTGCAGAAACGCAGGGGCGCAGAATTCCCCAGGTGTGAATGCTCCGGGCAGGAGATGAGCGAGCACGGACCACAGCTGCTGAGCTTTGTCTGCCTGTACTGACCAAGACGAGGGGGAAGCACGAACGCAGCTCCCCACGACAAGTGATGCAGTTGAGTTTCCTACCTGTGGGGATATCGCAGGGGTCACCAACCCACCATGCATTGGATGAGCCTTACCCTGGGGAAACCCCCAGGGGTGGTGCCAGACTCTTCCCGGCCAAGGGGCTGAGGTGGGCTAGACAGAAAATTGGAGGGGTGCACCCCCACAAGGCCCTGCCCCGTTTGTGACCCCACCCACTGCTCCTCTCCCAGCAAGTGCCAGCCCCGCCTCCTCTTCTCCCCCTGAGGCCCCGCCCCCTTGGCCAGGTCACAGGCGGAGCCGGGCAGTGCCGGGGGCTGCTGTTCTGGCTGGAGCCATGGTACCGGCGGCCTTGGCGCTCCCCGTCTCCCCCTGCTGCTGTTTGTGCCTGAGGTCCTGGGGCTGCAGATGCTTCTCAGCTCCCCGCTGCCCTTCGACGGCTCGCAGCCTGAAGAGCCGCCCGGGTTGGGAGCCTGGCTCCGGGGCTGGCAAAGCCCTTGGGGCGCAGCGACTGCAGGGGGCTGTGGGAAGCCGCAGAGCCTCCATCTGCCCTGGGCCATGTCCTGTGTGTTGTGTCCCAAATCTCATGCTTCAGGGATTCAGCTGGTCTCCTACAGGCATCAGGAAAGACAGAGCCCTGCCCTGATGCATTCTGGGCATTATTTTTTCAGTGTCAGCGATTGGCTATAGCTGGAGATGGGGCCCCCCCAGGATGGCTCAACAAATTGTCCTTCACAGATGCTCGGCTGGTGCGTCTTGCTCATGTGCTCGGGGTCAAAATGCCCATTTTTGGGGTCAGGCAGGAATTTTACCGTGGGGACCTTGGGTTTTTTCCACCTATCAGACCCCACCCCCCACGATCCCCATGTCCCCCCCAGGTGGGGCTTGGGCCCCCCCCCCCCGAGCTCCACACTGCCCACGGTGGGGTCTGCCCCCCCAGTCCTGTGCCGTCCACAGCTGGGGCTGGAGCTGACCCCCCCCCCCGAGCCCTGTGCACCTGGGGCTGACCCCCACTCCCGAGCTCCACGCCGCCTGCAGCTGGGGCTGACCCTGCCCCAGCTCTGTGCCTCACCTGGCTGAGGTTTATCTCCCCCCCATCCCCGCCAGGCGTCAGCTCTGTAGCCAGCACTGCCTGACAGCAGCAAATTTCTCCGCTTTCCTGCTGGCGGGCAGTGCTGCCTTCAGCTGACCCCGGGCAGCAGCCGCCTCTCTCTGCTCTGCCTTGCAGCCGGGACAAATGCCCAGGTCTGGCAAAAAAGTAGGGACGGCCGGGCCAGAGCTGGAAAAGGGGCCTGTCCTGGGCAAAACGGGATGTATCGGCACCCTAGCCAGCCCGGGCCCTCTTGTTCCTGGCTGGCCCCTCACTCCTGGGACCAACCCCCCCTATGTCGTGCCCCATTGCCCCTAGCCGGCCGCTCGCTCTGGGGTACCCCATAGAGAACTCGGCCTGGCAAGCTCAGCCTCCCTGCACCAGCCTCTTCTCCCCTGCAGTATGGTGAGTCCCTGAGGTCAAATCCACCCCCCTTGCAAACAAGGGCTAACTCAGCTGAAGGGAACCCACCTAGCTCCGTAAAAGGAGGCGAGCCCAGTACCGGAAGCCACCCTTCCAGAAGCAGCAGCAAGACACCTCCCTCACCCTCCTCCTGCACAAGTCATTGCTTGCTCCTCCCCATTGTCACCCCCTGTCCTCCCAGACCAGGGGTGGGCAAACTACGGCCCGTGGGCCGGATCCGGCCCATCAGGGCTTTGGATCTGGCCTGCGGGATTGCCACCTCCATGGCACCGCAGGCCCCGCGCCGCTCCTGGAAGCAGCCGGCCCCACGTCCCTGCCGCCCCTGGGGGAGGGGGAAGGGCAGAGGGCTCCACGCACTGCCCTTGCCTGCAGGCACCGCCCCCCACAGCTCCCATTGGCCAGGAACGGGGAACCGCGCCCAATGGGAGTTGGGGGAGGTACCCACAGGCGAGGGCAGCATGTGGAGCCCTCTGCCCCCCTCCTCCACCAGGGGCTGCAGGGATGTGGTGCTGGCCGCTTCCGGGAGCAGCGTGGGGCCTCGGCAGGCAGGCAGGGAGCCTGCCCTGGCCCCAGTGTGCGCCGCTGCCACCCCGGAGCCACTCCAGGTAAGTGGCACTGGGCCAGAGCCCGCACCCCAAACCCCTCCTGCACCCTGCACCCCAACCTCCTGCCCTGAGCCTCCTCCTGAGCCCCCTGCAGCACCCCACACCCCTCCCCACACCCCAACCCCCTGCCCTGAGCCCCCTGCAGCACCCCACACTCCCTCCCACACCCCTACCCCCTGCCCCAGCCCTACACAGAACTATCTCAAACGTACGGTCAATCACATCAAATCAATTCCTTGCCATTGCAGGGCCTTGGGCATTGGTGCACCTCAGTCTCTCCGAGGTGATTGGCTGGTTCCTTCTGGCCTTTAACACGATGAATCTGACTCAAAGGGCCACAACCTTCCTCCTCTTCTGCTCCTACGAACTATCCCTCATCTGGCAAAACATTTACAGAGACCGTTTCCTAAGTTCAAACGGTGGCGTTTTCCCAACAGGAAAGGGATGGAAAATTTCTCTTCTGTGGGGAGATGAGGGAAAGAAGGATCCAAACCGTACAATCAGTTCAGGAAGGTAGACTAAGGAGAGCGGTTTAAGAACCTGCACAGAATAGACTAAGAAAGCAGCTGTTTAACTGACCTACAAATAATGACACAGTAAAATTGGCAAGAGCAGCCTTTCAACTCAGAGACCTAATAATAAGATTTTACTAATAACTAACCAAAGAGTTACAAATGACTCAAAACCATACTCAGTACAAACCAAATGGTAACACAGACACCACCACATTTCTTCGCTGCTCTTCAACCATGATATTCTCCCCCTAGGGAGGGCCACCGTTCCTGGAGGTTGAGTACTGCAATAACAGGCAGTGGATGAAGCAAGCTGCTATTCCATCTCCCTATTCCAAAAATCAGTTTAATAGATAGTCCTCAGAAAGAGGAAGTATCAGTTATTAAAGTGAGAAGAACAGATTTAAAATTGTTATTCAAGCTAATGTTAAAATGATCTAAAATACAGGTTAATAAAAACATTTCTAGTCCTCTGCATATAATGCTAAAATTATCCCAAAATAGCAAGTTTGGTTTAAAAAGTCATAAAGGCACATCATGCATAATGTGATACTTGGTGAAATCTAAGTCTAGAACACAACCAATCTGGGGATTGTGCCCTGCTTCTTAACCGTCTGCCCTGAGGTTGCCACTCACTGTCACGAGCTCCTCCAGACGGCTCCAGCCCGCTCGTGGATCAGTAACCGGTTAGCAGAGAGGAAAGAAAGGGGTAGGAATAAATGGTCAGTTTTTACAATGGAAAGGGGTAAAGAGCGGGCTTCCAAAGTATGAGACGAGACTACAGACGTTAGGGCTGGTCAGTTTAGGCAAGAGATGACTAAGGAGGGATACGGTACAGCACCGGTTCTCCACCGGGCGTCTGCCAAAAGAACCCTGGGCTTGACCCACCTCCACGGTCCACCAAGCCTGCCTGCCTGGTTTGGGGGGGGCGCACAACAAAAAATGGCAGTATCACTGCAGAAGAGAGCTCTCCCCCTGCCATCAGTAAGGGTTGCCTCACAGCCACTGACTCCTGGAGCAGGCAGCAGCTAGCCAAGGAGACACACCTCTGCCCTCCCTGCTACATCAGCAGAGGGGGGCCAGGGAGCAGGTGACCCCGTGTGCCCCCCCCCCGCTTCACCTCTGGCTGAGGATCCGCAGGGCTGTGTATTTAATTTTAGGGGCCCCTGGTAAAAAAAGATTGAGAAGCACTATGAGCGAGGTCTATAAACCCATGAATGATGTGGCTAAAGTGAAGAGCGAAGTGTTAGTTACCCTTTCCCACAATGCAGTAAAGGTGTGGGGGGGGACCCACCTGACGAAATGAACGTGCAAAACTCCCTGCCATGGTATGTTGTGAGGGCAAAAAGTATAACTGGCTTCCACAGAGAATGAGATGAGTCAACAGAGACTAGGGCCGTCAAGAGTCATTAGTGAAGTTGGTCAGTGATGCAATCCCATGCTTGAGGCAAGCCCTAAATCTCTGACTACACAGAGACCCGGAGTGGAAGATGAGGGTGGATCACTCCAAATTGTCCTGTTCTGTACCCTCCTGTGACAAGTCCTCTGCCCGCCCCTCTTCCTGGGGCCCACTGGCTGCCCTAATAAAGCTGAGAGAGGCTTCTAGTTCTGCAGCACCCATGGCTTTATATACACAATGTTCTCCCACTGCCAATGTTATGCTATATACAGAGCTTGCAGGCCTGATAAACTCCTCTCCTAAACAGAGTCTGCACTCAGCCCAGGTGGGCAAGCAAGCAAGCCATTCCCCTTCTTCTGGGGGCCAGCCAGCCAGCCTTTATAGCCCTTGAACCCACAGGTACAGCCAATTCTAAAGGCCAGGCACCAGGCTTCTCCCCAGCCCCAATCTATTTCCCCTGATTGGGGTCGGTCCTGGGGCCGGTTTTCTTCAACATCTTCATTAATGATCTGGAGAATGGCGTGGACTGCACCCTCAGCAAGTTTGCAGATGACACTAGACTGGGGGGAGTGGTAGATATGCTGGAGGGTCGGGATAGGATACAGAGGGACCTAGACAAATTAGAGGATTGGGCCAAAAGAAACCCGATGAGGTTCAACAAGGACAAGTGCAGAGTCCTGCACTTAGGATGGAAGAATCCCTTGCACTGCTACAGACTAGGGACCGAGTGGCTAGGCAGCAGTTCTGCAGAAAAGGACCTAGGGGTCACAGTGGACGAGAAGCTGGATATGGGTCAACAGTGTGCCCTTGTTGACAAGAAGGTTAACGGCATTTTGGGCTGTATAAGTAGGGGCATTGCCAGCAGATCGAGGGATGTGATCATTCCCCTCTATTCAGCATTGGTGAGGCCTCATCTGGAGTACTGTGTCCAGTTTTGGGCCCCACACAACAGGAAGGATGTGGAAAAATTGGAAAGAGTCCAGCGGAGGGCAACAAAATGATTAGGGGGCTGGAGCACATGACTTATGAGGAGAGGCTGAGGGAACTGGGATTGTTTAGTCTGCAGAAGAGAAGAATGAGGGGGGATTTGATAGCTGCTTTCAACTACCCAAATGGGGGTT